TATACTCTCTCTCTCTCTCTCTCTCTCTCTCTCTCTCTCTCTCTCTCTCTCTCTCTCTCTCTCTCTCTCTCTCTCTGTAATGACTTTAAATCAACTACAAAAATTTTTAATTTTTCTGACATTTTAAAGAATGTAAGTTTTTCTGGTATACAGACACTTTCCCGTCTCTCCGAGTAATTCGGTATCATGACGATTGATAAACAATTGCAAGCATACCGCATGTACCAACGATTCGTTCGGATTCTGCTCACAATCGCAGGCTGCTGGTATATGCCTACAAAATCCGTTAAATCCGTTAAGTATTGTTGGTCCATTTATGTGCTCTTGATGTTAGCCATGTATCTTCTTATAGACTTGCACTTGGTCTATCTCAATAGACATAACTTAGCAGAAATTATGAGATACACAGGTGTAGCAATATCTACAATTGGTGCTCTTCTCAAGGTACAATCTAGAAGGAATTTTGATTTTTTTTAAAGAACAAATTTAGAAAAAAATTTTAGATGGTTTAAATAAAAAATAATACATTAGGATCTCTTCAGAACCTTGCATAGAGACTTGTATAGCCATGTATATAATGATAGAAAATTATCCAATCGCATTTTAGGTGTGTCTATGTGATAGAAATACAATTAGAAAATGTTATGCACATATAGTTATACAGCTACGCGAACTTGTTTAGACAGACACTTATTACATTAATAGATATATACATGCCCTAAATTTTGAATTAAAGAGATTAAAACATTCTTCTAATATTCTTAAAAAAAAAAATTCTTCTCTATGTGTACATTTATTGACATTACAATACATATACATGTGTACATGTGTTGACATTTGTTAAAAATTTACCCGGGATTGTAATTAATCTAAAAATTTGCAATAGAAATAATTTGTTTATAAATTGCATATTTAAAGGTGCATTCATTGGTCTTTTAATAAATTTCACTTTCTTTGTGACGTTCTAGTTTCGCGAAGTGGAAGAAATTTTTTTATTTAAACTTTAAGCAATATGTTACAAAATTTATAGTGTTATAATATTATAACATGTGTCAGTCTCTGTGTAACTTTTTTGTCTTGCGCGAAGAAAGAAATATGCATATCTGGTTTTTTTTTAAGGTAGGAACTTTCCTGATCAATCGTAAATCTCTGATAAATTATCATCGGATGCTGAATGATCTTTTCGAGGAGGAGCTTATGCAAAATGAGAAAATCCGGGCGATAATGTTTTTGCCCATATCCACAACATACATTCTGGCGTATGGATATTTTGCATTTATGTCATCATTAATCTTAGCGTATTATGCGCCTTCTTATATCTTCTTAATCCACAATCTCTGCCACTCCCGTTTAACTACAAACTACACGTTGCCAATCAGCAGGGGATACGGATACTTCTGGCCCGTTCCCGACAACTTTTTGTATCATTTTTATTTTTTCTTTGAGACGAGCCTTGTAGTATTCAGTGGCATGACGGCGGTCAGCGTTGAAAATGTCTTTGGCTTCTATGTCTACCAGTTCAGCTCGACAATGCGCGCCATGACTTTCAAGCTCATGAATCCTCCACGTACTGAGAACTTCTCGGATCTGCTAAGGACATGCTCGGCAAAGCATAAAAAATTATTGCAATGCCGTATCACGCTGGAGCACATTTTTGGACCTCTCATCTTTTGGCATATTGTCACCAACGCCATGCTTCTTTGCTCGGTGTTATATAGCACGGTTTATGTGGTACGTGGGTATATTAATGCAAAATTTGATATTGTAAGGCTTAATCTACTACTCTATACATTTGGTTGAATATTTTGTTTGAAGATGGCTGCATTTTTGCAACCATCTTCACTGCATGCATTTTATCTCTGACACTCGTTTAACTCTGTTATAATTTTATTACTTTCATTTTATTGATATGACTGCGGATTACAATATTTTGTCTTGTATCATTGTAACCTCGTGGTGAACTCCTGGTCAACATGGCCGATATTAACTATTGCTTGATTTTCTATTCATGGTAATAGCTTTGAAAATGTATTGAATAATGAATCAATCTGTACTAGAATTATTTCTACTTTTTTCTGTTTTTGTTTGTGCTAAAATGGCTAAAATGCTAAAAATGGCTTGAAATACAGCCGAAACGTCCGTAATGAATATTGTATAACGTTACTCATTTGTTTAATAATATAACACATTTTTGTGAATTTTAAGCGCACCAAGTACCGTGTCGCACTTTTATTTGCTCCTATTTCATTTGTGATTTTTATTTTAATATCAAGAGTTTTTATTATTTTTTATTTTTAATAATTATTTTAAAGCCATTTTAATACTATTGTCATATCATAATGATTTCTTATTCTGCTCAGAGTCATATTATATCAGAACGATTTGAATTCTTAGATAATACTAAAATAAGTTTTAAAGTCTTGAATTTTAAAGTCTCTAAAACTGACTTCTTATTTTCGAGAACTTTTTCGAATATTTGATAAAGAAATATCAGAGTCATTATAGTCTAATATATAATAATTAAAGCATAATAAAATATTGATAATTTTTACTCTATAAAAAAGGAGCATAAAAGATATAAAGAATTAAAAAAAACTCTACTGTAGTCTTTTACCAATTTTTCATGTCGTGTACAATAGCATCTAATTGTGCAAATAGTTGCTAACATGATATTATTAATTATTAAACATTTTTGCAACAGTCGAAATTAAATCTTTCCATCATATTCGCGTTTCTGTCATACATATTGGTAAAACTGCTCCAATCGTTTATATATACCTGGTACGGTACAGTCCTCACAAGTGCAGTAAGTTGTAATCAAATGATTTAATATTTTGTACAACGATTCTTTATAACTAAACATTAATCGTTCTACGTATATTTGTCTAGAGCAACGACTTTCGTAAAGGAATATACTTTGGCCAGTGGCTTAAGTCGAGTCTGGACCGTCAGGGGGGGGCTAACGTTGTTATAATGCTAATGCAAAAGCCGATGACTATAAACGCATTTTACTCAACCGTTGATTTAACGATATTTACCAATGTAAGTATTTAAATTAAAATTGCCCGAGTAAATGTGTACGAAAGGTTATAACTTTGGAGCGAATTACTTTCAGTTTTTGCACTATCGTTTTAAAGTAACAATTCCATTTTATTTTTGGAAAAATTAATGATTCAAGGTTTAAAAGAATAAAAACCTAAAATTCGTTCTTGGCAGTTTTTTAAAATGTTTATCAGCATCGAATTAATAATTAAAGATCAATTATGATTTCATTATTCCAACTTCAATTAATTTGTGTTGTAAATCTGACATTGATTTTTTTTTTTATGTGAAACTTAGCAAACTCTCAACATCGTTAATAATATTTACAGCTACGTATAATACTTTTGGCATAGTGATCTAATCTTTTTGCTTTCATTGATAGCTTGTGAATGCTACAATGTCCTATTTCTGCCTGCTGCAATCAATCAGTAGTAAAGATGAATAAAGGTCTCATGGATGCAACGTACACATATTTTGTAAACACCGTATGCAACACCATATTTTGTTAACACGTAAAGTTATTTTATTAAGAATTATATTATTAATTGTTGTATTATTATTAAGAGCCCATACAGCACATAATATTTATTAAAATAATGCACAAAAATAGTTTTGTAATGCTTTCATATCCGTTAGATCATGTCAAAAGAATATTTTTAAAAATATTTTAACAATAATTTTAAAAAGATTGTATCTAAATATCTAATATTAATTATAAAATATTTTTTGGCAACATTTATTCAAAAAATCTCAACATGAAAACCCTTGTCATTTTCTATTTCCATCATTATGTGATTAAAAAGGTATGTTCTGACGACGTATGTATGACTAAAGAGTAATGGACTAATGTCATAGATTGTTGATATCATTTTTTTATATGTTATAAAATCATTATTTTATCAAATTTAATTTTAATTGAACGTGATATGTAAACATTAAATAAATGTTTACGTGTGTGTGTGAAATTTATTACATAATGTTATAAGTTAAAGTTATATAAAGTTATTTTATATATATATATATATATATATATATATATACATATATTTTAGCGTACAAATAAATCCAATACGGTTCCAAAATATCGATGTAAGAACATGGTAACATTGCTACTAATAAAATATTGAATATTTTACGTATAATTTCCAGGAATATAATTTCTGAATTAATATTGGGAGAAGAGGGGAAGCGGGACAGACATTTAAAAAATCATTTTATCAAAATATCTCATGGTAAAAAATCTTATAATACTGCGCCGTTTATTCTACGTGACTTTTTACTAACGAGAAATAAAACAGTGCCGCGTTTAGGTATTAGCAGTGAGAATTACTGTCAAAAAATAATTAAATTTAAAATAATATATTAAAAATAGTAATTAAATGTTTTTTGAAGTCAACGCAGTTATTGTAGCATAATAACATTAGTTTATTACAAAAATATTAATATAATTTGAGAATAGTAATTAAATATCTTTTGGATCCGACGGAGTAATTTTAGCTTGATAATGTTTGCTTCTTGAAAATTACGGAAAATGAAAGAAAAGAAGAAGAATATTCCTTTTTTTTATAACTTATAATCGCTTTATAAATTATTATGCAATACACATATGTTGGATTTAAAAGACATTTAAGTTCCATTTATCATCTCGGAATCTAATATTCTTATTTCATTTAAAATAATATTTTGAAACAATATTATAAAATTAAAAATTTATAAATGTAAAAGAATATTTTAAAAGTATATTTAAAATATTTAAAAAAATAGCTTTTATGTTGTAAAAAAAGCATTTTTAAAATATTTCTAATTTAAAAATGCATAACCGCAAAAGATTATAACAAAAAATTCTCTTATAATATTACTAAAACCTCTTTAAAATATTTCTTGTAATAATTCAAATAATAATAATTTAAGTAACTAAAAATTTCGAGTTTAAATGAATATTTTGAATGACTATAGTTAATATATACAACTAAATTTAAAATGAAACTGACAACCACGTTACTCTTTGCTTTTGCTTTAACATACAAATTACAGTTAAATTACAGCTACTTTGGCTGTATTCTAGTTAATTAATGCAGTTAAAATGATTGTAACTAAATTTAGTTTTTCTGAATAGTCGTCACAACAATTTTACAGCTAACGAAGTTATCTATAACTGAATTTTGATTTTTGTTATTGCTATCACAGCGACATTACAGCTATTAATACAGCTAAAATAGTTGTAGCTGAATTTTGGTTTTTGTTATTGCTTTCACAGCAACTTCATACCAATTAATGCAGCTAAAATAACTACGGCTACTTTTGATTCTTCTAACAGTTGTCATAGCTATTCTACAGCAATTAACATAGCTAAAATAGCTGTGGCGGCATTTTTACTTTTTTATTAGCTATTAAAACGTTTTTGCAATAAAAAATCTAGAAAATCGACATTTCCTGCCAAATAATTGTAATTAAAGCTAATAAGACGTTATAACTTTTGTTTCTGTCGAAGCAAATGTGGCCAGATGTGTACTACTTGGGTATACTCTTTCGCTCGCGTGCACATAGCTGACATAGCTATTTATAACAAACGGTATACCTACAATATTACGATCGATAATAATAGAGACTATTTTATCTCGCACAAAAAGAAAGAATTGAAAAACTGTTTGCCTTTAATCAGTTTAAGTACAAAAATTAAAGTTAATCGATTAGCGTACGATACCGTTACAACTCTTGTGGTATGTACATCTTTCCCTTTAAAGTGTAATTTTTCTGATACAACTACAGTTTGTCTATAGTTATAACAAAGCTGAATCATGCTTATTTTGATCACATATTATCGAATAACATGTAAAATTGTTAGGTTAGCTATTAATTTTTCAAACCCTCGATTGATAAAACATGTAACGCAAATAATAATCAATGAAAAGACATTTCAAAGTAACGTACATACGTCAATACAATTGCAGTCCTTCAATAACAGTTGAGATCTTTAAGATAGAAGGTAAAGACTTTTTCTTTGATGTTATTAGCTGTAAATTCGTCGTACAAATCGGAAACGTTGACAGTGGTATTCCACGGTTTAAAATCTTCTAACAGAAAAGTTTTTCTTAATACTTACAGACAAAAAATTTCCATACAAAATAAATTTGTTCCGGTTTACCATAAAGTGTGGCAATCTTTAAATTTATTATTATTTTTCTAGAGACGTTTGAAACATATTATTTTAAAAAATTAAATTAATACAGATGTAAAAAATATATAAAAAAGTCTGATCAAATTTGTCGATCGGAGCTGCTATAATCCATATTAGCATATTAATAATTATTTACTAGTTAAAGTTTAATGCATTTCTGAATTTTTGAGAGTTAATTTTTATTACATTTTGTGATCTTTTGATGGCTCAAACCTGAGCCAAAACGTCTTGAATTGAGTATTAATAAAATTGTCTGAATTATTTACACATCAACTATCGCGTTTGACTTTCATTAGTCCCTTTTTTCTAAATATTATTTTTTAGTTACAGTCAAAATCCTTTACAGTCATGTAAGGATCCTACTTTAAAAATTATTAAATGTATTTTCAATAAAACAGTTTTCTCAGAATAAATCTCATTACTTTTGAGACAGATCATGTATATATGTAATAATTAATTTGCAGTTTTGTATTTATATTCAAATGATAAAACCGTTTATTGACAAATAATATATTTTTAAATTTAGCATATTTGAATCAATATTTCCCTCCGAGTTCTTTTTTATACAAAAAACCACAGCTTTTTTTAATGGACTTCATGTATCAAATTATGAGTATCACAATTGAATATTGATCAAGCATTATCCTATCTTAATTTGGAAACGAGCAGAGCATTGTATTCTCTCTCTTTACAGACAATTGTCGCAAAATTTCAAATTACATCAAGTTATAATAAATATAGTAAATACAAATATAATTGGAAAGTCTTTGTTACCCGAAGACATTCAAGCAACGCTATCATGGAAACAATCAGTTTTACATTTCAATCATAACAATTTTGTTAATGATATGGTAATAATCAATATTAAGAAAGCTGGTAAATATATATCAAGTTATACTATACATTTTTCATATCATGTTCGGATATCAAACAAAACTCTTTACGTATTTTTTACTAATATTATCTACTTATAAATATTCAAGATGTTTCATGTAATGCATAAATACAAGTTTAGTAACACGAGTATTGTAATATACTATAAAATGTTCTTTGATGTACGTGTATTGTCTTATTTTCGGTTTATTGTATCGCCTAATACATTTAATACAAATGTTAATTTGCAAATAATTTAGTTATTTTCTTTTAATGTCTAAAATTAATTTAAATTTAAATAATAAATTACAAAATAATGCGCGCCCTTTTAAATATTCAAAGCATATTCAAAAATAATTACAAACTAATTAACGAGAATAGTATGATAAAACAATATGTAATACATTTAAAATGTACATGTAAAAAGAAATATATGTTTCGTATAAATGCGTTAGAAATGCTATAATAAGAGTATACACGGCTATAAAAGAATCATTGTATTAAGTATTACGTAAAAGTTGCAAAATGCAATTTCAACTTATTGTTGGCTTCTCTTGCACATATACAATAGTATCACAGAAACACATGGCCATATCTTATGGTTTCATGTCTTAAACATATTTAGTAAAGTGACTCTTGTCAGAATGCTTCTTGAATCTTCTTCTATGGAAAAGTGTTACCAATCGGCTAAGTAACATAATCTGAAACAATAATACAATATTATTTTTTATTAGTTAATTTTTATAAATCGTGATGTGTATAAATACATATTTACTTAAAGTTTTTTTATTTAAATAATACAAATATCAACACTTTTGATTCATTATTGGAGTACCGTATATATTTGAAAATACAACAATATAATTGCATGCACATATAATATAAACGCATTTATATGTATAGTTTAATAATTACGTCGTTGTTAATAAAACTTTAAAAGATTCCATTATGCACAATTTTTTTGAAGCTAATTTTTTAAAAGCTAATTAGGCTACAAAGCGCGTAAAAAGTTATACATGAAATCTTACGTTTTTGAGTCGCTGAATACGGTAATAGTTTTATAGCACTTTCATTCATTTAAATTTATGGGAACGTAGTCAAAATTCGTGTTAAAAGGATCGTTTCTAATAGTAATTCAGTTAATAACAATTTTGTTCCAATTATTTAATTACTTGCACTATATATAGTATCTATAGGTTTATAACTTTTTTCTACAGAAAACCAAGGAAACATTTAAAAATAAAACACTTCAGAAATTTTAATTCTCTCATGACTGAAATCAATACAATTTTATAAAAAAAAGGTCAATTTCTTATTCAAAGAATCTTAATCTCTCAAAGAGTCAAAAAGTCAAAGAGTCGAAGAATCAAAGAGTCTCATCTCAGAAGTGCATACATCTCTATACATTGCGTAGCTTTGAGAATGTTAAAATGGTAGACACACCCATACCGGAAGTTTCATTTACAATTATAGAGTGCGTTAAGTTTTTTAAAGTAGACCCTCGTCAGACATCTTGTTATACGATTTTTTGTATTACGTTGTATAATAAAAAACAAATTTAGTGGCTCGATTTTTTTTGCGGGTAAATGTATTAATTCAC